ATATCCAGCATAGGATTAACTCGTGAGAATTCAAGAAAAAACCTTGGAATTGGGGCTTTCCTGATCAGAACTTTGCCGATGCTGTGGAGGCATGTTAGTGGCGGATGCCACCATCTGATAATCTGATGAGCAGAGAGGTGGCAGTGTGGCCTCTGGAGGAGAATTTTCTGTTGATTGAGGATTCAAGAATTGGCTTGAAGGGTTCAAGATTTGTGTGGTTTTACAAGGAACAGACTGCAATGTGTTCGAAGAAGGTGCTCGAGGTTGGATTGAATTAGTGGAGGAAAATAGTGGGACTTTAGTGGTGGTGGTGGCGGCGGCTCTGGCGGATGAAGAGGGATGGAGGTTGGCTCTTTCCCATAAGGTTTCCTTGCAAGGAAGTGGAGAGGATTGTGAAATTCTCTTCATGGAGCCACAAGCAGAGCGTTTTCTGGTGAAGGAAACCGGAGCTCCGGCAGCTGTAGTGCTGGTGTTAGGATGGTGGTTGCAGGAGGTGGCAGTGGAAGAGTCCAGATGGAGGTTGGCAAGAAGATTGATGGCGACGGAGTGGAAAAGGTCATCTTCTCCTGGTTCTTGATAACTCCTCTTCTCCATTAGTTTTCCTCACTGTGAAGGCTTATTTTCTTTTAACAGATTTTTGAATTGTGCAGGGCGCCAAAAAGGTTTATAAAGAAGATATTGTAGTAGTTGATGAAATCAGAAATTTAGCCTGTATTTGATCAAGATTAAAATCAGATGTTTAGTAAATTTTGATAGAAGTCGATAAAATATATAGTTAAAATAAATTATTGACTTTGATTTGGATTAAAATCATAATTTCAATTTATACCAAACGGGGACTTAACTTCATTTAAATCAGTCCAACACGGCCCATTTCGGGTCAAATTAAGCCAAACGATCCAACATCCCTCTACTCAAGAACTCTTGTGTATGTTAAGAAGATATAAACACTAATAGAACGTTCAAGTATTTAATACAATGCTGTTCTGTATAGACAATCTTAATGAACTTAAAAAATATCAAAAGCCAAAGAAAGTACAGCAGTTCCTCGGATCTAATCCAAAAATACAATCTCAAAATTTTAAGCTAGATGAACAACTAAATATGACTACTACGAGCAAGAGACGTGCACTTGAAAAAGCCAAGACGGGCTGTAGTATAACAATCGTCGGTCCATAAATCCAGAAACTTTTGTTTCACCAAGGCTGACATGCCCCGTCTACCCAGGACATCATTGATTGAACCCAAAAGCAAAAGGAAAACTGAATTATTCCCACCAGCTGAATTAGAGAACTAACCTCTTTAAGCATTGTCGGGATATGTTGACCTACTATTGACGAAATATATAACCAAAGTTCTAGTTTTACCACGAATATATCCAGAAACTAGAGGCAATAAATCTTCACAGGCGCCGTACATCAATGAGGCTTCAGTCCGGGCATAAGGTCGAAATGTTTTTCCAACAGTGTACGAGCTTCAACAAGAGATGTTACTTTGTAATCTGGTTTGAATTCCATGTTTTCATACTCAGGAGAATCGTACCTTCCTGTTTCATCAAGCAAGCACGTGAAAGCTCCTGCTCGTCTCCCGCATGCCACCTGCAAAGACCGTGATGAATTAAAAAAGAAATAAAAAATGAGAAGTAATCCAGCGACCGTGTAAATAAAGATTAATTCTGCAAGTACAAGGAAAAAAATAGAATCTGTACAGGTGCTGCCAACGCAGCACCTGTATGGCAGCATTTCTTTTATATTTTTTTGTCATCTTTCAATAATAACCTACTAAGTGTTAATCTGTTCGAGTTCTGTAAAAAATTTCTGAACCTACAACATTGTTCGTAAATAAATAAGATTTAAACCAATGTCGAAAAGTATATAATGAAAAAAATATCACTCAGACGGCCCTGATGATGAAGAAAGAAAGAACGCACATCATCTTTAAGGCTATCCCCAATCATCATAACCTCGTCTGGTTGCATACCCCAAGCAGTACAGATATGAAGCAGTGGAGCAGGATCTGGTTTATAAGGTCGAAATTCCCTGCTTAATGCAGGAGAAAATATCATCTGAAGAAACAAAAAAGATCTTAAATTTAACTTCACTGTGCAGCTGCTAGCAGTTCAGCAGATATTTTCAAACAAAGCAAAATTTACCCCAAAGCGTAGATGAAACAAATCCACTGCTTCCTTGACATTCCTAGTGATTAATCCCCTTCTGAAAATGGAATTAACAAAAAATTAAAACTATCGTTGTACAAGCCGTAATGGATATTATTGTAACGCTAAACCTAAACTATTAAAAATTCTACACCCTTTTTATTGATTTTTACACCCCTATACATAAATGTACAGACATCAATTTAATGATATTTTCATCTCTTGACTAACTCGTGACTTTCATAAAAATTAAGGATCAAGACTTGTAAACAAGGACAAAAGCATATTTGATAAAATGGGAAGTAAGATCGATAACTTTGAGTTAGTTCTGGGCATTATTAAAGTCGTCAGGATACTAGAAGTGGCTTTAAACATACTAGAAACCAAGGCAAGTGGGATACATGCTCAAAACCTAAATAAATACAATAAAAGTTTAAAAATTAAGGCTGTATATTGCCTATTTTTTACCTAGTACAATAAGGTCATCCAGATATCAATAAATGCTTGAACACCAAATACCATATTATCAGCTACTAAAACATGGCTAGAGCAAGATCATAGATTACTTGGCAGTGACTGCATATCCCAGAGTTTATATCGAAGACCTAAACAGAAACTACATTTTTTAGTTTTCATTACCGTTCAAACGTTTACATTCATGTTATTGTACATATAAACACAAATGGTGCTTCTTCTATTTAAACTATAATCCAAACTTACCCCCTGTCATGAATGCTAGACAGTAAAGAATGGGCAAGAAAATGAAATGAACTTTAGACATTAATAGATGCAGAATGTAAAAAGGAATCATCCATCCCCCGTTATTTCTAACAGGTTAAGACATAGGAAGGAACAAAATTAATTCACCAGAAAGCAAAATAAGTGTTAAGTGCAGAAGCAACAAAATAAAGAACATATCCAAAAAGAATTTAGGGGTCTAACCAAAAAGGAAACAGTAAAAGCTTCAGCAAACAAATACGAATGTAAAGAAGTTTATTTGAATATTAACCTTTGCATTACTTTACCTAATATTCCTCGAGTCAAGAAAACTACAAAGTTTTGAAGCACCTGCAGCACAATCAAACTGTAAAAACTTTGATTCATTGTGAGAACCTATAAATTCATCCCAATCTCATACAAATTTTGGATATATCAGAAAGTACAACTTGGAAATCCCAAATTTAATTTTTTTTTCTATTTTATCATTTTATTAATTTATTGCAGTGGTTCAATAATTTAATGAATCTGAAGCACCTCTATTTCATTTTGTATATGAATAGAAGCAGTAATTAATGCTGAGAATTTTTATTACCGTTTCACACGTTCAAATGTCGATATCTGGTTACAGAGCACTTGGCTTGTTACCGAGTTACTTACATATCAAAACAAAGCAAAGAAAGAAGTTGGAGGATGATATATGAAGTCAATACAATATGCATCCTCCTCGTTGTTTCTTTTATTCTTTATTTCAGACAAGGGAAAAAGGGATTCCTCAATGTTGAAAAACAGATTTTAATTTATAAAAATTAATAATTTGGGTTTGTGATAATTTGTAAAATACATATGGTTGTGAGTTGTGAAAAGTAGGATTAGTCATAAAAAATTATGTGAAACTATCTTACAAAAAAAAAAAGAATATAAATAATTCCATTTACAATAATGTAACAAGTAAAGACATAGTTAATTAAAAAAAAAATCCTATTGAGTTTATTATCATAGTACCAACCCACAAACTCTCTTTCCTGTCCAACTTACACAATTATATTCCTTGCAAATACGTAAGGCAACTGACAGAAAGAAACTTCAACTTTCAACTGTGGTCATTCAATTTTTCACCTAAAGGGAATCGAGAGAGAGCAAAAATTGGCCTGTAGTTTGGCATGCTCCACGATGTATGTTTTTATTGTCTCTTCGTCACCATACATCCAATTGCATGAACTCAGCAAAGGTACCTATTTTTTTACTTTTTTTTCTTTTTTTTCTCCTTCCTCACATTGTTTGGTGATCAAAACTTCAGCTTCCAGATATGTATTTTTATCTCCATTGCACTAAATTTTATTAATTTTTCAGTAATAATTTAAAGATCTACATTTATCCCTCTTGCACACTTTCTTTCATTATATATACAATTCTCAAAACTCAATAGCTACTCTTGGAAATTGTCTAAAATATTTTATGACTAAGGGACTTCAAACAATGATACTCACAGGCATTGTTAGAACAAGCATTTTTTTATTTTTTTTATTTTTTTGGCCTCTTGAGCTTAATTGGTGGTATGCCAAGTTTTCAAGTTGCTTAGCAGAAGAATATATTATAAGCCAAAAGTGAAAATATATGAAGTGGAAGACTCATTTGCCCCTAAATATAATTGATGAAACTGAGACCCAGAATAATTTTTTCATAATGGCTATGCTGTTAAAGCATTAAGGACATTGAAGAATACACTCTTATTTTATCCTTACTTGTATAACATTGATGAACTTTTTCTCCAAATTAGCATGCTGAAGTTTGTATACACCTCGTATAAAGGGTTGTTATTTACTTTTTCTTTCCAATGAAATTTTGGGAAATAAAAAAGAAATAAACCCAAAGCTAACAAACTCATAAGTTGATAGAAATTCATTATTGTGAAATCTAAGGGCCTGTTTGGCATGACTTTCTATTCGTGTAGAAGAGCTTTTGAAGGAAACTACCTTCATATTTGTTTGAAAACTAATTTTTAAATGAAGTTCCTATTTTGAAAGTATTATTAGAAGAAGTCACATTGAACCAGCGTCCTCTAAAAGCTATTCTAACTAGAAGATGAACTTTCATAAAATTAGCCAAATGAAGCTTAAAGCAATTTTTGAATTAAAAAGCTTCTTTTTAACTTTTCAAAAGCCACGTCAAGTGGGCTCTAATTCTAGCCTACAGAAGATGTACATTCAAATTACAATCTGGTTGACAACAAACCCAATAAGGATTCGTCGAACTATGTCAAAGAAGGTAAGAATACAGTATGATTAAGCTCCATGCAGTCCAACACTCAACAAATGCTTGTAAAATACAAAGTAATGATGGGTTCACGGGACACTAGTGTTCAAATTTCGGGACTCACAAAGCCACTATGGTACTTGGCATCTTTAATATCTTCATGCAACTCTTTCTGGAAATCAATTCTATATGCACTCTGTTCTTTTTGTTTTATTTAAGAATCATTTTATGAAATACATAGAAGTGTATACACCGCTTAAGAGCTATAATACTGCATTTCATAATTTTACATTTGAGCTGTGGCACTTTAGGATGCTCAACCACTCTCATTTCTCAGTCCTAGTCCCCTATTTCTACGGCAGACTACAAGTTTAAGGGAAGAATACGATCTTGTTACCCTAACACTAAAGTGGGACCAAATAAAATTGCATACAAATACATACAACATATATAAATGCTGTGGGCAAATTGGACCTCACCAGGCATGATTTGGAGGCGATTCAAACCCTGTTTCTCAAAATCCGCGATAATTTCGTACGCCCGTTTCTGCTTGTTGGGGCTCCATGTCTCAATATGATGCAGAATATCTATACCTGACGGATTCTCCGACTTAATTTTCAAATACTCTTTTTCCCCGAGCACTGTCCTGTACATTGCTGGGAAGTCGATGACGGGGACCGTTAGGGTTCCGTCCATGTCGAACACCACGCCTCTCAGGCGGGCATTGGTCGTGGCTGACGGGGTGGAGGTGGTCATGGACGAAAATGCCCTTCTGGAGTGGAGGAAGTTGAGGGGCCTGAGACTGAGAGTGAGGATATACATTGTATTTTTTTATTTTTTTATTTTTATAACGGGAGTCGCAGTGGGGCGGTGATTTTGCAATTTAATGAGCGATGGTTGGGTGTTGGGAACTGGGAGATTGGTGAATTGTACAACGAAACAGTTAGATCGGGTAAATATGATGGATTAAGGAAGAAAGGGACAACATTAAAAAGTAGACAGGGACAACATTAAAAAGTAGACAACTTAATATTCTGAGTTTGGCATGTGATTGGCAGTAGCGATCCTAATTTTTACTTCTTTTTTTTTTTTTTTTTTTTTTTTTTTTTTTTTTTTTTTTTTAACTTTAACCTCCAAACCTTTGAAAAATTAAAAGCTGGGGTCCAAGTGGATGGTTGATCATTAGTTGACCAAGAAAAGTGAACTTTAGCCAATTTTGACTAAATTAAAAAGGATTAAAAAAATGCTTTGCATTTTCCTCCCATTAATTAAATTAAAAAACCCAAAAAAAAAAAAGAAAAAGATATGCAAGCCCACTAGGATTACAAACCTCAATCTAGGTGGAGTTTGATAATAGGTTGAATAAAAGGTAAAATTAAATTATTTACTTAATTTTATTTATCATTTAATGTCGCATTAATGCATCTAGATTGGGAGCATTACTCAAAAGAAAATGGTGCATCATCATCTTTTTCAACCCCACTACTATCACTTCAAGCAAGACAAAATCGTCCTACAAAATCATAAATTAACATCATCCTCAACAAAACTAGAAAAGCAAATCAAAATAAAAAATGAATTCACTCCTCCAACATCTAAACCGGTAAAAAAATCACGGCTGCAACAAATCCATGGCATTAGCAACAGTCACACTTGAGCAAGGAGAGTTAAACAATAGAACCGGATGAGATGCACAATGGTTGGAGTTCCTCTTGCTTGTGGGCGAAGAAGCATACTCTTATGTTGCAAACTATACTACCTTTTGCAAAGAGTTGTCCTACATTGAACTCGGCGGAGCCAACTCTAAAAAATCCCATGAACATAATGACACATGTCTTCTCTTCGACAAGTTTCATTTCACAAATCCGTACAAGGTGCACAGCTGTAGTGGTAATTTCTCCCTTCTTCGAGCATTTTTACCTTGGTGAATAAATGGGCATTCTGTCCAAAAATCTTTCAATTTCGGCACTGCCATTTCATAGAATTCTTTCACAATAGTAGCTAAGTCATACTCACTTTCGGCATTATTACTAGAAAACTAGTTTTAACGCTGCCATTCGTCCATTCAACCAACCACTAGTTGCTTAGTTGATACTTTCGGCTCTAATGCCACCGGTGCACGACTGTCTTGACCCTACACCCGGCTCGTGATATTTTTGAATTTTAATCGAAATTTTGAGTTAGGTTACCTAATTTTTCAAGGGGTGCAAGGTATGAGATCTGATTAATGCCTATGTATGTATAGGAGGATAAGATTGGCAGTAGGTTTTTGGTTTTGACTTGATTTTGAGGTGGGGATAGTTTAGGAATTTTGATTTTATTTATTAATTCTCTCTCCTTTTTTTATTTATTTAACGTCGTAAATCTAAAGTTACCACTTTACCCCTTTTAGTTTGGGCAAAACTGGTCAAACTCCATTTTTCTTGGTCAATTAACAATCAAATGAATGATTTCCATTCACTTGGACCATTACTGCTAATTTTCAAAGATTTGACACCTCCATTGGTAAAAATTAAAGGTTAGGGTAAAGTCTACAAAAAATGAAAGGTAAGGATAATTGCTACAATTTTTCCTTGATTATTTGAAATTTTGAATTTTAAATTTTGAATTTTTATTTATTTATTTTATTTTTCTAAGAATGTCAAGTTAAGAGTAAGAAAAATTATGTGGAATGTAAAAAATAATTTTTTTAATGCATAATTGAAATTTATTGGGGATAAAGTTAAATTTAAAAAAATATCATTTCCATACAGACACCTAAATTGATGAGAGAAAATAAAACTGACTTTTTATGAGAAGAAATGGTAAATTCCTCGAGGGATCTCATTTCATAATGATACGATTGTCACATTTTCAACATTGAGCCCTTATTTGAGCCATATTATTTTCCTTAGAATGCATTTTTGAATAGTGTATTGATGAAAAATGTGCAGTTAAAAAATAAAGAAAAGTTTTGAATTTGCATGTAATATTATTTTATCGAAGAATATGTGACCGAAATGATGTCAAATCATTGTTTAAGTGTGTGTATATATATATATATATATATATATATATTTTAAATGTGGCTCAAACGTGACCTTTATTCTTGATATTTACGTCCTTATTCTTTTAACACTATGTGCGTAGTATTTTTATTGACAAAAAATATGCATTCAATCGTTAAATAGCCCTACAAGTGAGGTCTAATAAAATTGTCCCAAAAAAATATATATATATTTAGGAAGTGTTTGAGCCCCATGTTTTGTTGAAATTGAATTTTATAATATTGAATTTTCGGATAATGTATGGTTGAAAAAGTGTGAGAATATGTGATTGAAAATGAGTTTGGAAAAAAATGAGTTTTCGATAATGAGGATTAAAGGGGACTTAGTCATGTTTGATGTAAATTAAAATCTTAAATTAAAGTTAAAAATTAATTATAATCATACATTACGAGAAATTCACAACTTTTTAACCACACATTTTACCAACTTTTATCGAAATGTACTAAAAAACTGAATTGAATCCACACCAAATTGTGGTTTGATTTGAGCAATTGCAATTTGATTCTTGGAACAAAATGAGATTATTTCTTAAAAAAAAAAAAATACTTTCAATAGATATTGTGTGCATGTGGAATGGACACTTATTGTCAAATTAGACATTTTGTGTCGAGGGGGTATGTTGCATACATGGTGTTAATAGATTGGAAATATATGTTTGATGACATAGTTATCACACCTATGAAAAGTTCAGGACTCCCATAGGAATTTACACGAAAAATTTTACTGCTTCTGTCCCACAAAAATAGTCACGTTTTCTATTTTTATCTGTCCCAAATTATGGTTATGTTTCTTGTTTGAGAGTATATTTAATGTAATAGTTTCTTAGCAAATCCCTATTGTGCTTTGTTACCTTGAATACTGCATGAATAATTTAATTACTTAAATATTGATTGCATTGATGTTGGGGTATATTAGTAAAAATGATAGTAAAATTTATTATTCAATTATAGTAACTAAATTTTTTTAATCTATGTGAAAAAAAAATAAGATTATCTTTATGGGACCAAGAGAATATAAGAGACTTTTATGTAATTGTATTGAATTGATTGACATGGATTTCTTCTTCAATTCATATGGAGGTGTGGGTTTTAGGTCGACAAGTATCTATCTATACAGCTATTTGATGATGGAGCAAGAAGAATAATTGATAGAAAATTACTTTTAATCCATCGAACTTATTAAATTAATATTATTGATACAGTCTGAAATTGAAAATATATTTTTATTTATGTGAACGTGTATCGTTATATAAATATGTCACGCATAGAATTACTCAAATATGTCGTAATATATATTCAAAAGTATATGTAATTAATTTGGTGCCAGCAAATTGGCACTTCTTCGCCTTCTTCCTCTATTTTTTTTTTTTTTAATTTTTTACGAGCAATTAACTAAAGATTCTTCATTGAGGTTGGACCTTTCTGTGTTTTGTTGCATTTACGAGAACTTACACATTGGGGAAGAATGTTATAACCCTTTTTTCTTCCACTTCGAAGATCCTCGACATGGATTTAGATCGTTCAAATAAAGAACTAGTCTTGACCTGTAGTAGGCCCTTTCGGTGACGGATTTAGAGGAGATTGGGCTGTACTTAGCCATTCCATGGGTTAAAAAGATTTTTTTTTTTTTTTGTGAATTTTTTTTTCACATATTAGTCATCTTAAAAATTCTTTTAGCCTGATCTTGGATCCGCCCTTAAGCCCTCTCATATGAATTAATTAAAATTGAATTTTCTTAAATTTATTTTCAACTACACATTCTCCCCAATACAATAATTTTGTATGTAGATTCATAGGTTTTTTTCCTCTACTTTTTAACAATACTTTCTAAAATAATAATAATAATCACATTTTGACAAAATTTAATCTCAAAAAAATCTGCATCAAACATGTTTTGTTTATTTTTTGTATTGGTTGACACGATCTGATATATTATGTAAACTAAAATGACTAAATAACTCATCGGGTGAAAATAATGACAATCAATTAAATGAGAAAACACTTCCAACTTTAATCGTTAAATTGATTGACATAATTAGAACACAAATTCATATTTTGTAATAATCCAAAATTTAAGTAATTTTCTTCGTATTGAATCCGTGTAAAAAATAATAAAAATGCAACCAAAGGGGGAAAAGGTTCAAAGTTAATTTTTAGTGCTATTTGCGTCAATTTCCTTTTATTCCTCTGTTCCAGCTGGCCCATCCAAGCCGATTCCCAAAAAAAGCCTTAAACCCTTTCCTCCTCAGCAATATTTGTGAACTTTCGGCTGCAACAATTCAACAATGGCGTCCGAGTCTTCTCAGAAAAACAAAGCCAGGCGAAAATTGAAGAAGCGAGTCCGAATCGACGTGGGGAAGAATCTCGAACGATTAGACTCACTTCCATGGAACTCCGCGCTACCGGAAAATGATGGCAGCAACCACGACCCTTACTCTGTATTTATTGGCTCAAACGAACTCGAAGGAGGTAGAGAATATAGTATTAGCTTCCTCCACTGCAATTCATTGTTGAGTTTTTCTAAAACAGTTTTAATCATATCCTTGATAAAATTTATATATTTCAGTTCAGAAATTTGAGGGGGAAAAAAAAAAGTGAACTTTCGGTTTGCTTTCATTTGACTTAAAAGTTTGTTCTTATTGGCTCAAAATTTTAAATTTCTGCATTTATTTAATTAACCTTGCACATTTTTATCACTGGCGAAGCTAAGATTTCATATTTTGGTTGTGGTGTGGGGGTGAGCAATATAGGGAAGCAGCAATGCACAAAGGTCTCTCAGATTAAAAAGCTAATTGCTAGAAACTGGCGAATATAAGCACAAGGGAGATTTGGAAGTGTTTATAAATTTAGAGCTGAAGAAGTAAAATTATGTTGACAAAGAGTT